TCGGACTATTTGTTCCAGGTAAACGTACTCGTCAACAACTTCGAGCTAAGTGTAGGAGCACTTAGCTCGAAGTTGTTGACAACACACGCACAACTACCGGCATAGGTGTGACACAGACATTACACATGATCTTTGTTTTGTCCATATTCATCTTAAGACCTATCTGTTGGGAGGCACTATTGAGGTCATTGAGCATAGTGCTTAAGTCCTCCAGCGATTCTGCCATAAGGACTATATCGTCGGCAAATCGAATGTAGGTGATGTACTCACCATTGATGTTAATATCGTATCCTTTCCAGTCCAGTAGCTTGAAAACGTCTTCCAATACAGCGGTGAAGAGTTTCAGGGAAATAACGTCACCCTGTATTACACCTCTCTGCAGTTGGATAGGTTTCGTGCTCTGGTTCTGCTCTCGGATAGCCATCGTAGCCCTACTGTACAAACACTTCAGCACTTCGATATACCGACAGTCAACTTGGCACCGCTGAAGGGACTGTAGCACCACCCAAATTTCGACGGAATCAAAGGCTTTTTCATAGTTCACATACGCCAGACAAATCGGCAGACTGTACTCTTCGGACTTATGTACAATTTGCCGAAGGATATGTATGTAGTCTATAATACTAAAGCCTTTTCGGAAACCGGCTTGTTCGGGAGGCTGGAAGTCGTCGAGTCTGCGTGCGAGACGATTCGTAATGACTCTTGAAAACAGCACGTAGACGCAGCTCAGAAGGGATATCGGTCTGTAGTTCTTCAAGAGGGCGTTGTCGCCTTTCTTGAAGAACAAGACTACCGCACTTCTACTCCATGCCTCCGGAGTAGTGCCACCATGGAGTACGAAATTAAAGAGCCTCTGAAGGACTTCAAGTACCAGTTTTCCACCCGATTTCAGAAGCTCCACTGTAATTCCATCCTCGCCCAGGGACTTGTAGTTTTTAAGGTGCTGGAGAGCCATTCTAATCTCGCTCAGATTGACGTCCGGGATATCATCGGAATAGTGTCGGATAAGACTTGCTCTTGGATCGTTACTAACACTTGCGTGTGGCTCCAACGACGACGTGTACAGCTGTCCATAGAATCTCTCAATATCACTCAGGATCTCAGATGTCCCGGAAACGATGTTGCCACACTCAGTCTTCAGCTTTGACAGTTGTCTGTTACTGGCAGACGGATCTCTGGCAAAGACTTTGGAGACCTGGTTCTGCTCGATCGCTTCTTTAATACGAGCAGTATTAAAGTTGCGCAAGTCTCGCCGAATGAATTTGGAGATCTGTCTGTTCAATTGCCAGTATGCTGTCAAATCTGTTGACGACTGCAGCCTCATCTCCTCTCTTACTGCCATGAAATTAAGAGTATGATCGGAGAGTTTTTGTGTTCTTCTGCTGCGGTTCTTGCAGAACTTAACTCCGACCGCGTGGGCAGTTTCCACGAGCTTGTCATTGATATCGTCCACTGCATTGTAATCTTCTAGGCACTGAAAGCGGTACCGTAACTCTAGCTGAAAGCTTTCGGGATTCTGGATTAGAGCACGAGGGGGACGGAGCGTTCACTTCATTAGATGAGACCTCTTCAACTTGACGTTTAAATTCAGTGTGCCTCTGACCATTCGGTGATCGCTGCCAGTTTTCACCCTTGTGATCACTGAGACGTCACTGAACAGTTGGCGTCTGTTCGTCATAATGAAGTCAATTTTATTTTTTGTCGAACCGTTGGGGCTCGACCAGGTCCACTTCCTATCATATGTTTATCATAAAAAGTCCCTCTTTCTCCATAAAATCGGTCAGCTGCTGGCTCCTACGGTTCCGTTGCCCTACTCCAAATTTCCGTAACTTCAGCTCACCGGTTTCTCTTGTGCCTAGTTTTGCGTTGAAGTTTCCCATCAACACCGTGTATTTGGTTTTGAAGGAATGCATGGCTCTGGAAATATCCTCATACATTTCCTCCACCTCCTCATCGAGATATGTCAAGGTTGGTCCGTGAACCTGTATGACCTTCAGCGAATACCGTTTGGTGATTCTGAATATCGGGTACGTGACCCATGTCGACACACTCCCAATTTTTACAACGTTGTTGACGAGAGACTTGTGGACGATAAATCCCACACCTCCTTGGGACAGATGGTCGCCTTCCTGGTGATAGAACAAGTGTCCGGACTCGAAAATCACCGTGTCCTCCCCCTCTCTTTGGACCTCGGATAATCCAATAATATGCCAGCGCAACTTGTCTACCTCTTCTTCCAGCTCCAGTATCTTCTCGTCAGTCCTCAGGGTGCGTGCGTTATATGTTACCAGGTCAAGTCGTTTTAGGTGGCAACCGAACCTCCACCGGATATTCTTAGCACCCCCTGCCCCGCCGTTACCATGGTCGCCACCGTAGCCAGGAATAGCGGGGCTGACGGGGACTGGGGGCCATTTGTTTGCGTCGTTATTTATGGGTGGATATTTGCCATAGTTGCCACGCTTGGCGAGCGGGTTGACAACCGCAGTTTTTTATTATATTGTTGTTGTTATTAGGAAGATGCTGCTGCCTTACGACACCCACGGGAAGATATATATATATATATATATATATATATATATATATATATATATATATATATATATATATATTAAGATGTATAACTAAAATATAAGAAATGATTAATCGTTAATGACATCTACAAAGAATCTAATCAATGTTAAGTATACTCAAAGAGAATACTTGAAATGACTTGTATTTCGATGCACTCACAGATAATACTAATGAGATACTTCTTTATTTTTATTGCATCGTAAAAATATTTTGCAAATAGATTGTTTTTATTCCTGTTTTTATACATAGGGAAACTTCTATTTTTATTTGATCGTTACTGTATACAATATGAAGAATATTACTATTGTTATAGTAGTATCACGCCACTAAGACACCACAAAGCAAACATCCATGTATTGACTATGAGCTATTGCACTAAGACATGGAGTTGAGTATACTTGTTGCACTTAAAAACGAACGAACAACGAACACATTCCATCTGGCCCAAAAAATTATAACGCTATAACGCATATAAGCCCTCGTGTTATAACACTATGATCTGTGGAGTGCCCAAACTACACGGGCAAGCCGTATTGCCACAACAAACCCGCTCACTACGAGTACTAAGATGATAATATGCTCGATAACCTATATAACATCTATATAACATATAGGTTATCGAGTCCATGTTTACCGCGGTCTTAATTACGGTGAAACAGTCAACACGACACTATAATATTTTTAAATCCTATTTCTGACAATTTAATACTTTTACATATATGAAACTCTTCACATATTTGCTTTGTTTAATAGACCTTACTTTCATATGTATTCATTTCAAGCCACAACTCTGCTATTACAATGTTTATGCATCTTAGAGACCTTCTATATTCTTTGTATCATATACCTTACTATCTGTACGGTCTAACCGTACATTTCTGCTGGCGTTAACATTTTATGTGAAGCAATTGCTATAGTTCGACAATTATAAAAATTGAGTTAGTTCACGTAATCACCGTAACTGCGACGGACGCGAGCTCATTAACATAACATTAACATTTAACACATTTTAATATTATATATTTTACTTCTCTATTAAATTGTTTTTACATAAAATTTAAATTATTATTAAACATACGTCCAATACCTGAAGATTTTTTGGTCCTTCGAGCAGAATTCTATTGGCACCCACAATGTTAGAGCCATTATAACTGTCGATATGACGTGGAGCTCCTCTTCTCGATGTCATGCGACGAAGCGCTGTTAAAAATGCTGACGTGCTCAAATCTGACACTAATTCTAAATGTATGGCTTTGGTAACCATACACACAAAAACTGCTACGTATCTCTTGGTAGTTTTTATTCCTCGACCTTTACTTGACTTTACTTCAATGAAACCAGTATAATCAACGCTTGTGTGATAAAAAGGTGGTGCTGGATTAACTCTTGACACTGGTAAATCAGCCATTAATTGATGTTGTGTAGAGGGATTTTTTTTTCTGCATTTGACGCAGTATCTTAAACGCAATTTAACGGCTCTGTTGCCCCCTACAATCCAATATTTTTGACGTAACCATCCCAAAGTAAGTCGAGGACCACCGTGAAATGTCATGTTATCCGTCAATCTACTTTTATGGGGTATTATTATAGGGTGCATCATATCGTGGTGAATGTTAGCATTTTTTAATCTTCCTCCAACTCTAAGTATTCCTTCACTTAAAACCGGATTCAAACTCCGTAATTTGCTACTCATATGCACTGTGTTGTGCTTATATAAATATTCTATGTCCACTTGAAAATCGTTTTCCTGAACATGTTTAATACCTGGGTGGATTGAAAAGTACTCGGCCTAACACAGATCCATTCAATTCTAAAAATAAAATCTACCCACATTATTTAGTTCAGTTCAGACTAGTTCATTGTGTGAAGTTCGAAACGTGTGCGATAATTAGTTGTGATTTTATAAATTTATTAACAAAGTAATCGGACATAATTTCCGCGAATGGAGTAAATCGAGCAGCGTGCCGTCATTAAGTACCTCCATAAGAAGGGGCTATCATCAAAAGCCATCCATGATGACATGGGCAGTACATTAGGCGATTGTGCTCTGTCATATTCATCCGTCAAAAAATGGATAGCAGAATTTAAGCGTGGTAGAGAGAGTGTGAAAGATGAACCCCGCTCTGGAAGGCCTTCGACGTCAACTACTGACGAAAATATTAAAAAAGTACTTGATTTAATAATGGGAGACCGAGATTAAAAATTAGAGAGATAGCCGAGATTATAGGCATCTCTTATGAATGAACTCAAAACATCATTGTCAACGAGTTGGGTTTCCACAAGGTGTCTGCGAGGTGGGTTCCGCGACTTCTTTCAGTTGAACAAAAAAGGACGCGATTGACTATTTCACGCGACTGTTTGGAGTTATTTGAAGCCGATGCAGATGATTTTTTGAATCGTTTTGTTACTATGGACGAAACATGGGTTCATTACTCCTCCTCGCTCTCGGATGTCGTATGATATTGACGTGTTTTCTGTATTGTTTAAATTCATATTTTATTAAAAGTTTGTGAAATATTATTTACACAAGAAAAATAGAAGTGCATAAACTTGAAGAGATCACTTGTTAAACAAGATTACTTTGGTACGTAAGAAGGTGAATAATGCAATATTTATAAGCGCAAGGGCAAAGGAGATAGGTAGAAACGTATTGTTGCCGCGCCACAACAAAACCGATGAAGAAATACGTCAACTTTGGATCCGCCCATTACTAGGTGAGAGAAACAACATTATTTATTATTAATGCAAAAAAGTGCACGAGTAAGCGGTGACATTCGAATCGCTTAGTGTATAATACTAGGAGCGCTGAAGATTAAGGAAGCGAAACGCTGTGTGTGAGAGAGTAAGCTGACGACAGTATAAGAAGTGTGGAGATATTTTACTGTGTTTAGACGTTTAAAGTTAATTGATAGCCAATAATATCGTGCGACTGACTGACTGTCATTACACGTATATTTGTTAGGACTATCCATTGGATATATATAAATACACCTATACAGTAACACTGCAGTGCCGTCCGCTATTCATTTAGGCCTATAACATTACTTTCTGTATAATGTCACTTCAAAGGACTCCTCCTAGCATGCTACCATCCATCGCAACAGAAAATTCTCCTACGCGTTATCTATCTGACTCTGCGCTTAACACGACTAGCATTGAAAAAGATGAAGGGCAGCTCTCAAATGTTAACTATAATCGACGAATTAAAAGAAAATTTGATGATAATTTATCGGATAACTCTGTGATGGAAGAGATGAAACAAATGATTGCCGACATGCAGGTGCAACAAGACTACAAATTTCAGACATTTAGTGATACACTGAAAAAAATCGGAGAACAGAACTACGCAATTCAGCAATCTATTGAATTTCTATCGGCTAAATATGATAATGTTCTAAAAAAAATGGAAAGTCTACATAAGGAGAATGAAGGATGTAAGTCTCGAATAACAATTCTCGAAAACAAGATAGAACTTATGGAACGCTCTGCTCTTGCCTCCACCATCGAAATTAGAAATGTACCCAAGATGCGATTCGAAAATAAACAGGCTCTTTGTGAATTATTGAAACATGTTGGCTTAGCCCTTAATCAGCCAATCGAGGACAACGATATCTGTGACATTTACCGTATAAAATCCAAGTTTAAAGAGGATACCCCCATAATCGCAAGGTTGAATACCACCTCCATTAAGGAGTCAATAATTCGCTCAGTAAAATCATTTAATAAACAAAACCGGGATATGAAACTTTCTTCTAAACACCTACAATTCGACGGACCACCACGGCCAATATTTGTCTGCGAAGCTTTGACTGCCAAAGCTAGGCGGTTATTTCACCTTGCTAAAGAATTTGCTAAGACTAATAATTATAACAGATGCTGGATCTCATACGGAAAAATTTTTCTAAGGAAGATATGGAGGCTTGCCGTCCATAAAAATCGATTCGGAAGAAGACTTAAACAGACTGAAGTGACTAGGCTCAGTGAACAAAATAAATATTGCTCCATTTTCTGATTGGTCTATTATATACGAGTATAAGATGGTACACTTTTGCATGCTTTTTCTGTATTTTACTTTTATTAACATAATTATATATTATATTTTACATTGCAACACACATTCATACTTTTTACGCATAGAACATAAACTTCTGCCTATTATATTTACAGACAATAAAAAATTTAATTATATTTACAAAACCAAACGTATGCTTACATTTTATTACGATGGAGTGAATAAAAAAACAGTACTTTGTGTTATTAAAATATACTACACCTTCTTTCAAATTATGTTTGAATTCCCATACTTAATATTAGTTTTTTGCGATAATAATTTGAAGACAATAATTGGTATTCGTTATAAATCCATGTGTTATTGTCGTGCTTTACAGACTTTGACTATAATTATAAGACCAATAAAAAAATATTTCCATAAAACAATACGAATAATTATCACAATATCCCAATCGTTTGAAATGCTTCTCATTACTCTAAATGTATTATTACCTATTGTGGTTATAAATAAATTTCCCTGTGTTAAGCAGTATATTGCATTCGTAAGTCTTGGATTGTTTTTGGTGGAATATAAACTGCTAATGTATATCTTAGAGCGTCCATTGGTTACTATACCCGCAAATTATATAAGGCATGCACTTTCATCTTACTTACTACTTAATAAAATAAAAAAATTAGGAATTTCAACAAAATAATAGTGCATCTATCCTTGTTTAGTATTTTTAGACTTTTTGTGTTTAAAATTCGTTATTACTTTCTTATAATAATATACTTTGGTTTATTTTTTACACAATATTCATTACTTATGTATAATATATCGGCATCAATTGATTGGAATAAGCAGCTATCTCTTTATAAAATTCAATAATTTAAATGAAATTACACAGAATGTTGACAATGTTACTGTATCGGATACGGCGAGATGCGATACACAAAACTTCTATTTATTAAATATTGACGAAAGTACATGCCTCACAATAATACAACAAAACATTCGCAGTATCTCACGTAATATAGATGACTTCCTAGTTCTTTTAACGCAAATTAGAATACAATGTGATATTATTATTTTAACCGAGTGTTGGCTATTGTGTAATTCCATAATACCACAAATACCTGGCTACACATATTACAAGTCTATAAAGACCTATAACCAGAATGATGGTATCGTAATTTATTACAAAAATGATATTGGGGTTTTAATTACGGAACCCATGTTTTCTGAAGGAAACTGTGTGGTAATAAAACACAAAAGTATTGCTATAGTTGCAATTTATCGTTCGCCTAGCTTTCAAAATGTAGACTTGTTTTTACAAACTTTAAATGTAATTCTTACGTCGTTGTCTTCCCATAAAAACTTATCTGTGATGGGCGATATAAATATAGATATAGCAAATTATACAGCGGATAACAGATCAACTGAGTATCTTAATCTAAATGCATTTCACGGACTTCTTCCTGCTCATAATATGCCTACTAGGCTCAATGCTTGTTTAGATCACGTTATGATGCGGTCAACTATGGCAGCCACTACAGTAGTGTGTAATTCGACGGTAACTGACCATCAAGCTGTGATATTATGTTTAAACAACAAGCAAAAAAATAATTTAACATCTAGAACTCGAACAAAAATTGATTATGACAAAATTAAACTAGAATTAGAACAAAATAACTTTGATTTTGTATTCAAATGTTCTAACGCAAATGAGGCTGCTACACTTTTTGTATCATATCTCCAACAATTATTAATAGCGAATACAATTAAAGCTACAATTTCGAACCGCTTAAGACCTATTAAACCCTGGATTACAGTAGGAATTTTAAAATGTATACGAAATCGTGATAATTTATTTAAAAAATATAAATCTTTTCCTGACAATAATATCATAAAAATAACATATACTAGATATCGAAATTATTGTAACTCCATGATTAAAAAAGTTAAAATGGCTTATTATAGAGATAAAATTAGTAAAGCAGGTAAAGATGATAAAAAGCTTTGGGAAACCATTAAAGAGATATCAAATACCACGAAAATGAAAACTGATTCCACCGAACTGCTTAACAGCGCGAAGAAACCTCAAGAGGCTATAAATTCAATTAATAATTATTTTGTAAATGTAGGTAAACAACTTGCTGATAATATTGCAGTTAAGGAAAGGGTTACAAGTTCTTTAGCAATTAGATCAATACAGAACTGTACGTCGTCCTTTGTAATACTCGAAACTGACGAAGAAGAAGTTTCCAGACTCATCATGAGCCTAAAAAACAAATGTGCTAATGGATGGGACAATATCTCTAACTGTTTTATAAAAAAAATTAAAGAATATATTGTTGGGCCATTGACATATATATGTAATCTTTGTTTTAATGAAGGTGTATTTCCTCAAGTTTTTAAACGGTCTATTATTCATCCAATTTATAAATCTGGAGACAGAGAAAATGTCGGCAACTATCGACCGATCTCAATTCTTCCATGTTTTTCGAAAATAATTGAACGAATTATAAACAAACAACTCACGAACTACTTAGAAAGTAAAAAACTTCTATCCCCTAACCAGTTTGGTTTTCGGCAGGGCAGATCCACTGATGAAGCAGTGAACGACTTAACAGATTACGTAGTTAAAAATTTGGACAAAAATAATAAAGTTATTGGAATATTTTTGGATCTCGCCAAGGCGTTTGACACTGTGTCTACCTGCATTCTAATAGAAAAGTTGGAATTATGTGGTATTAGAGGAAAGCAACTTGCTCTATTTAAAGATTATCTATGTGATAGAACACAATGTACTAAAATCGGAGATTACATTAGTCACGAGGCATTAATTACCTACGGTGTGCCCCAAGGCAGCATTCTAGGTCCCACATTATTTCTCGTCTATATAAACGATCTCACTTCTATTCCTTATGGACATATAATATCATATGCTGATGACACATGCCTTCTTTTTTCTACAAATTCCTGGGAAGCTGTTCAGGATGCTGCCCAGATGGGGCTTGATTTGATGAATGAATGGTTGCAAAGTAATTCTCTTACCTTGAATTCTGAAAAAACCAAATATATTGCTTTCACAATACGTAAAGAACGCCTTGATCATATTATCAATAAACCACTGATCTCACACAAATGTCTCTCAAATATTAATATAAAATCATGTAAATGTAACAAAATAGAATTAGTCCATAACATTAAGTATCTTGGTATAATAATAGATTCCAACCTTTCTTTTAAAAATCATATCGAAGTATTATCCAATAGACTATCTAAATTATATACATATTCAAAAATGTACGCCATGTGCTAGATAAGACAGCTTTAACACGTATCTACTATGCCCTAGCGCAAAGTCTTCTTACTTACTGCATCACCTCGTGGGGCGGTGCTCCTAAAACAAGTATGAAGCGCGTAGAAATATCACAAAGGGCCATTTTAAAAGTTTGCGGATTCTTCTCTTATAGACATCCAACTGAACTTCTTTATCGACACTGGCAGGTACTAACGGTACGTCAGCTGTTTATTCTCTATACCTTGTTGAAGCAACACAGTGGAATTACTTATGATCGCCATAAATTTGTAGGAGTTAGACGTAAAAACACAGTTTGTGCAACATATTCAACAAAGAAGACATATACAAAAAAATTCTTTTGCTACATGGGTGGATTCTTATACAATAAAATAAATGAAAAGCTATCTATATATTCTAAAAATAAATATGATTGCAAAAAAAAACGTACATGATTGGCTACTGAAATTAGATTATGATTTAACGGAATCGCTCCTATCAAGATAAATATAATGTACGCACACACACACACCCAAAATCACAAACACACACACACACACACACACACACACACACACACACACAAACATGCACGCGTGCGTGCATGCGCAAACTATACACTACACTACACGAACATAAATATATAGTACTATACATTCATATATGTATTTATACATTTTATATCATAATACACTCTTAATTAGTATTTTATCCTGGATTTTCGCTGTAATTTTAAATAATATAAGAATTCCTTTGTTTATCTATCTATCTATTGTTTTCCTAGAATATTTTCATTCAATGTCATAGCATTCGAGGGGTGGGAACCTGGTGACTTGTACTACAGGCTTATATATGCCTACTTCAGGCACCAGCTTCTCACATAATAGAATTCTGTATATGTACTACTAGATTTACATTGTTTTACTTTATGTTATGTGAGAGGATAAATAAAGACATTATTATTATTATTTTTGGGGTATCTATATAGTTTTCTCATCTGGTTGGGATATATAAATATATAATTATAAATGAAAATGAAAAGATAAACATACATAAATATCAATAAAATAAAATAAATACAAAAAAATACACAAATAAATAAAGATCCAACCAGATGGAAGCCCTCGGCAGGGGAGACCAAACGGCCGAGGGTTAGGGGGAAAGGGAAAGAAACCGGCGGACGATGCGGGCGGTATCGAGGACCACCGCCTTCTGCATTTGAGCCTGGAGCGGTCCGCCACGGAGTCCCAGCCGCCTCAGATGACCCGAGAGGCTGACTGGGATTAGCCCGTTTGCAGAGACGACTACAGGAATAATTTCGGTCGGCAGACCACCCCACATGTCGGTCACCTCGTGAGCCAGGTCCAGATATTTTGTTTGCTTATCTGTTTCGGCTTTCACGAGGTTCTCGTCATACGGAATGGTAATGTCGACCAAAAATATCCTTGACTGTGCCCGGTCCATCAGCACAATATCAGGCTTATTCGCAAGAATAGTCCTGTCTGTGATGATGGCCCGGTCCCAGTAGAGCCTGGCGCGGTCATTTTCGAGCACGGCTTCCGGCAAGTACTTGTAATACGGCAACTTCCGGTCCACGAGACCGTATTTCAGAGCGAGCTCCTGGTGTAGAATTCTGGCTACTAGGTTGTGCCTGTGCAAGTACTCAGAGTTAGAAAGCGCCGAACAACCGGAGATGACATGCCTAAGTGACTCCCCGGGATGGCGACAAGCTCGACAGATGTCGACGGTGCCATCCTTTAGGATGTATCTCCGATAGTTGTTGGTCTCAATAACCTGATCCTGTATTGCACAGACAAAACCCTCGGTTTCCCCCGAAGAGGTCACCGAAACGTAGCCAGTTGAGGGAGGTGACTGTGTCTACGAAGGGCCCATGTAGAACCCTGTAGAACCTCCCGTGGAGCTCCTTCTCCTTCCATACGGTCTCCCGGTCGGAAATGCTAGCACTGCCGGGTCCTGCCATTGCTCGTTGGCCAAGGATAGAGGGGTAAGCCCTTTATCACTAGAAATGACGTCATTATAGAATGGATCATCCGATCTCGCCAGGAAGTAATGACGGAGGCTGCACACTTCACGATTATGCATAGTGAGCGCGCTTAGAAAGCCACGCCCACCATGCTTTCGCGGCAAGTACAGCCTCATTACCGACGATCTCGGATGATGCATCCTATGGAACATCATGGTAGTGCGGACTTTTCTATCCAGGGCGTTAAGTTCAGTCTGAGTCCACCTGAGTATGCCAAAGGTATACATAAGGACAGGCATGACCCAACCGTTATATGCGTGTGTCTTATTCACACCGGACAAAAGGCTATTAAGCACTTTGGTCAAGCGTGCATAAAACACGTCGCAAACTGACTGTTTCGCACCAGCCTCATCGATACCGATGTTCTGTGACATACCCAGGTATCGGTATGTTTCAGCCTCGGAAAGGGTCCTTAAGTTGACGGGCATAGATAAATCTATGCCCTCAGAGTTAGCAACCCTTCCCCTCTCAACATGGAGGACCGCACACTTATCCGTCCCCAGCTCCATTCCAATGGAACTGCTAAACTCACAAGTGATTTTTAGCAATTCCACAAGATGGGAGCGACTGGAGGCGAATAACTTAAGGTCGTCCATATAGAAAAGGTGGGTCACTTTTGTCCCTCCTTTCCGTAGCTGAAATCCTCTCCCGGATCCCTCCAGTAAGGTACTGAGAGGGTTCAGGGAGAGGCAGAACCAGATTGGACTCAGACAATCGCCCTGGAAGATACCCCTTCTTATCCTTATGTGGTTCTCCGCAGCCATCATCCGCTCACCCAGATGACAAAGGATCGTACTCCACTGCCCCATACACAGCTCGAGGAAGTCTCTCACTGTACAGTCTATCTTGTACAGCTCGAGGACTCTCTTTAGCCATGTATGGGGCACCGAGTCGAATGCCTTTCTGTAGTCTATCCAGGCGGCGGAGAAGTTCCGACGGTTGCGTTTCACCACTTTGCCAATGACCGCGTCAATGAGGAGTGGTTCCTTAGTTCCACGACCACCGCCCCGACATCCATTTTGAGCGCGTGACATCACCTGATTTAGCTCCAGGTGACGAGTGATTCTCGCGCTCAAAATGGATGTCAGTGTCTTATATATGGTGGGTAAACACGTAATGGGGCGGTATTTGCTCGGGTCTGTGGTAACCTGGTCTTTAGGAACCAAATGAGTGATCCCAGTAGTGAAGAGGCTAGGGAGCGACTTCTGGTTGAGAGCCTCTTGAAACTGACGGGCGAGCACAGCGTGACACACCATGAACCCCTTCAGCCAGTAGTGATGCAGTCCGTCGAGTCCCGGACTTTTCCAGTTCGGGGCTCTACGGACCGCCTCAGCTACGTCATCCGGCGTTATGATGACGGGGTCCATGGGCGTAATACTCGCACACTGACTCGCCACAACTTCCGTCCAAGGGCCCTCGCTGTGGTTTACGGGCTCTGACCACAGGCCACGCCAAAATGCGACAGTGTTAGCCTGATCCGGTCCTGGGCCCGCTCCACATACCTCTGGTCGCTCCAATGATTTGTAGAGCCTCTTCTGATCACTCTGGAAGAGACGATTCTGGTTGAACCGCCTTGACCTCTCGGTAAATCGGCGAATCCGCTTCCCCCAAGCGGCAATCTTTTGCTTCAGGTCGTCTATGCGCTCCGTTAGTTTCTGCGGGATATCCGGCTGGGACAAACTGATATTTGTCCCAGCAAACGCCATTCTAACGGTGCGCACAACCCTCGGTCTATTATTACCCGACCTGAAGCTTATCAGTCTGCCGATAAGGGGCCCTTGCCTTTGCGATACGGTCCTCAATTCTTTTTCTCCAGGCTGGGATGGCGCTACTTTGTTTAGTAGCGCGTCCAGCCATGGGAAGTTTGGCGCCAATAATACGGCAAGCTGCCACTGCGGCGCCAAAAAGAACTGAGTCCGTCTCGCAAAGGTCCCGGCTGGCTTCCAAATAGGTTACCAGCATTGGGTTAAGAGCCCTCACGACAGCCCGATTTCGCTTGCTTAGGGGTATGCGGGGGAAGTCGCGGTCGATTTTCGAGAGGCATGCTGCGCGTTTCTAAAATCGCCTCTTCCAATATACTCCTCATTTGCTCTAGTTCGTGGGAGACCATTTCATCATCGTCTGAATCACCCACAACTGGAAGATCCATGGCGACTTCTACTCGTGGCAGCTGGTCTGTCGCCTGAGGAGCCTCATCCCCAGCCGTAGCCAATTCATTCGATGAGGGAATGGCCTCACGTCGTAGTCGTTCGAGCTCGGCATCATCGAATATTTTCGAGCGCATGATGTACCGAACTCGGTCTGCCAGGTTTTGTTCCGTGACGGGAATAGACGGCTCCAGCTCAGCAAAAAGCAATGCATCCGAGCCCGATACGCTATCCCCGCAGTTTCTTCCCTCCCCTTTCGCCCTATAGTACGCCCGCATTGCGTTTGCGTTCATATCCCTTGTCCAACGCATGCGGCGCACTCCACCAGCGGCGGATGCCGCTTGCCGAGTCCGAGAGGACCCTGCCGACATCAAGCCGTCTGGTGGGGATGATGGATGCGGGGGGCTGTTAGGTGATCTTGCAGCTCCTCGCGCTCGGCTGGCGGCCCGCATGCTGCCGCGTCCAGCGCCAGCTCCAGACGCGCCCCGGCGACCCCCAGGCAGCGGCCCTATACGTTTTCCAATCTTATCCATCATCCATTTTTGGGCGCCAATTAGCGGGAGACGCCCAGGCCCGGCACCGTTTTATTGTATCATTGTACGGCCGTAAGCACAAACGGGCATTTGCACCCTGAGTACTGCCGAGGCACGGCGCTCACACCTCTTGGCAAGGCGCTGACTGACTGCACCGACGTAGCAGTTTTGTCACTTAACTGTTTCGTCAGCGGGCGATGGGGTCGTCACTTCCCTACGCCTTAACATATTATTATTATTTACACACATTATTATTATTTATTACACACACATTATTATTATTATTATTATTATTATTACTGTACATCGGAAACAAAACAACAATCAAAACAGTGGAGAAGACCTGGTTCACCACCCCCTAAAAAGGCTAAGTCGATTTTGTCAGCAAATAAGGTGATGGCTTCAGTATTCTGGGACTTGAAAGGTGTGATTATGATTGATTATCTTGATAGGGGTCGTACTATAAACTCTGATTACTACTGCACCTTACTACGTCGTTTACGAGAGGAAATAAAAGAAAAACGTCGAGGAATGCTCAGAAGAAAAGTCGTTTCATCAAGATAACGCCCGTGTTCACACGTCAGTACAGTCAATGGCTGAAATTCACAACTGTGGCTTTGAACTGTTACCGCATCCGACGTATTCACCTGATCTGGCACCATCAGACTTCTTTCTGTTCCCTAACCTAAAAAAGCACTTGGGAGGTCAAAGATTTTCGACAAACGACGAGGTCAAAGCAGCTGTAGACGCATATTTTGACTCTAAGGAAGAATCATTTTTTTTTCAACGGTCTAAATGCTTGGAAGGGGAGGTGGCAAAAGTGTATTGAACTCGATGGTGATTATGTAGAAAAATAAAAATATAACTGATTTAGTATGTGTTTATTTTCTTGGTTTGGCCGAGTACTTTTCAATCAACCCTCGTACTCATAATAACTAATTTTGCTTGCTTCAGTTCCCTTAACGTAAGGTAGCTCGGCCATTGTTTACCTATCTGCTTAGATGTTAAAAAACGTAATATCCATGCTACAATACGAATTATTTTTGTAAATGAACTAAATTTATTTAATAATAAATATATAATATTGTTATGACTGTCTTTCTGTATGACGTTTGCTTGTTTTAATCGAATTTCTTCGTTTGTTTGATATAGGTGTTTTCCATCAAGTCGGTATGAAAATGTTTGTAGCCATGATGGTCCGTGCCACCATAATTGGTTGTTTTTAAGTTGTGATACGTATAACCCCCTACTTGCAGCATCCGCGGAGTTTTCTTTAGACTTAACGTAACTCCAATGACTTGCAGCTATAATAGTAGTGATATATTTAACTCTGTTTACCACAAAAGCTTTCCAGCGACTTGGATCTCCATTTAGCCAACGACCATGGAGTCCGTCCATCCATATATTTCGATTTTATATTGACACAGGCATTGTTTTATCTTATTTATCAGTTTACGTAATAAATGAGCAGTATTTAATTCTAACCTAGGCAATGACATCTCTTTTTTATTTGGTACGAGTCGTGTTTTAGCCGCTAAAAGTATTGTTTTAGGTTGGTTTTTTATTCTTGCGTAGACGACGCAGGCAAAGGCATATTTTGATGTGTCACTAAAACCATGTAACTCGACAACATCATTTTCGTTACACCCTATCTATCGAGGTATTTCAAACTGTTGAATATCATTCATATCGCTCCGAATTTTCTGCCATTCATGTAGTATGTTATCTGGTATGTTTTCATCGCTAGAAATATTTAACATCCATACATTTTGAAATAACATTTTTAATTTTGTTGAAATGGGTGCTAGCTAGCCTAATGGGTCGTATAATTTTGAAATTTCTGAAAGCAAACATCTTTTTGTGGGCTTATTTTCTTGATGATTTTACAACAGAAAGTAAATGTGTCTTTGTTGTTTAACCAACAGAGTCCGAGAGTCCGCGTTGCGTGTTCAGTTTTAAAGTTAAAAATTAAATTTTCTTCTTTAATCTGACCTTTACCTAAGCTACAGAGCAGTTCGTTGTTATTCGACGCCCATTTTCTCAAAGCGAACCCTCCCCAATTGTAATAATTTGTTTAAGTCATTGACCAACTTTCTGTCTTGCTGAATGTTGTGGGCTCCATGGACGAGATCGTCCATATAAAAAGCCTCTTTTAAAGCCTTTGATTCCTCCGGGTAGGCAGCCTGTTCGTCTTCTGCTAGCTGTTTTAACGTCATCATTGCTAAAAATGGTGCCGCCTTCGTGCCATATGTAACGGTGGTAAGTTGATATGATTGCAAAGGTTGTTCTGGTGATTCTCTCCAAATAATTTTTTATAACGTTGGTCTTGTTCATTCATGATGATCTGCCGATAAATTTTCTCAATTTCTGCGGTGAATGCATATTTATATTGACTTTATATTGAAAACGACACGGAGGCTTGTGGTCATTGACTCGGCACGCACTACGCCGTGGTGAGGTAGATAACTCTCCGGCATCGTATGACCATCCGATTGTTTCACATGATTCAATTGTTCATATTCTTTAATAAAGGCTTTATATTTTTCCGCGAAATTATCATTTTTACAAGTTTTCTTTCTAAATTCCGAAACTGTGCAATTGCCATTGATTTCGTTGATCCCAAATTTGTTTTGATTTCTGGTTTTAAGGGTAAACAAACCTCATAACGACCATTTCGATGACGTTTCGTAGTTGATGTATAGTGTTGTATACAATGCTGTTCTTCTAAGGATAACTCTGAATAATAATAATAATATAATAATAATAATTTATTGTTTCTCACATAACTTTTACAAACAAATCATATTGAAGCTCTGTAGCCCGTGGTAGTTGAAAACTGTGTTACAGGCTACAGCATCTTTCCCGTTTCAGTGACATATAGTTGTAATGTGACAAACTATTATAGCAAACGGTATAAAAAATTAATTATAATGACATCAAAAATAACATATAGGTTAACAAAGTATAAAGAGAGAGAAAAAAAAACAATAATAATAAGGTAAATAAAAAGTGTGTGTGTGTGTGTGTGTGTGTGTGTGTGTGTGTGTGTGTGTGTGTGTGCGTGTGCGTGTGTGTTTGTGCGTGTAAACGTCGTAATATTGTATAAGAATTATTTATACAAATACAAATAATGTTCCGTTATTTGTTCTATTTCCCAAAATTTCTGAATTTTTTCAATGTCGTTTGTGACAACATTACATTGAAATGTTTTAACACTACACACACAACAACCACCCTAGCTGCGTTTGTTCTGCGATAGGCTGTGATGAATCTCCCTTTGAAATGCCACCTAACATAAATATCAGCACCGAAGAGTAAGTCCACGGGACGACTGTTATAAAACTCAGGATCAGCCAAGCTTATGTTTTCTATAAATGACCATGAAGGCTTTGCGAACGATTGGTTTGGCAAATGTTTAATTAGGTTATTTATTATATAAACATTAATGTTGAAAGAATAGTCATTAAACATGGATGTACACGTAATATTTAAGATGCCCTTACAAATGTTTTCCTTTTCCCCGACGCCATATATAACTCCCTTGCAGTGCTGTCTTTTCAGGCCTAAGGTTTGTGCGACATTTTCAGAGATAAGCAAAATTTGGGATCCCTGATCTATCAAAGCTCTTTTGATTTGATTAGTTCCATCCAACGCCACAACTTTCACCAAAGCTGTCGATAGTAAAATTTCTCCTAAATTATTTTGTGACAGTGCAAAGTGTTTGTCATGGACTCGTTAGGTTTTTTCGCAACCTTTGCACCGGATATGGACTTAGTGCACTCGTCATGTAACAGTGTATTATGTTTCTGCAAGCATTTGCGGAACCGATGTGTTGAAATACATGGATTTCTGTTATGGCTAAATAAAAAAATTATGCACAGTTTCAATTTTTTGGTGGTTTTCAATTTAATTCCATTTGACATATTTAAAAATGTTTTACAATTGTAAATGCCATGATCATCATTACAAAGATGACATTTTATTTCAGCAACTTTATATAATTTTGCAATCGGTTTGTTTGTCGTATTTTGATTAAAATTGAATTGCTTTTAGTAATTATTACTCGATGTTGAATTGCAGTTATGTTTAGACTGACCGTTTAATTTTGATGTATTATCCTGTGTTCGACGACATAATTCTTTATTATTAGATAAGCTTGAATAACTTGGAATACGTGATGTTCAACTAAATGTATTTAATGAATACCTTTCTAATAGATATCAATGTGTCAAAATTAATGATCAAGTTAGTGGAGATCTACCGATTACACACGGTGTGCCACAAGGCAGTATTTTAGGCCCAAGCTTGTTTATAATCTATATAAATGACCTCTGTCAGCTAAATATCCCAAATTGTAAAATAATTTGTTAGGCAGATGACACTGTTTTGCTATTCTCTGATGATTAGTGGGAGAATGCTTACAAAAGTGTACAATTCGGTTTAAATCTAGTTACTCATTGGCTTCAACAATATTCTCTTACCCTTAATGTTGAGAAGACACATTTTATCTCCTTTAGTATGCGAAACTCTACCCAACCGACGCCGTCTCTTTCACTAATAGCTCATAGTTGCTGTAATAATAACTTCTATTCACATCACTCATCACTAAAACTGCTTCTATAAAATATTTGGTATCGAGGAGCACCGCCTTCTGCATTTGAGCCCGGAGCGGTCCGTCACGGAGTCCCAGTCGCCTCAGATGACCCGAGAGGCTGACTGGGATTAGTCTATTCGCAGAGACGACTACAGGAATAATTTCGGTCGGCATACCACCCCAAATGTCGGTCACCTCGTGAGCCAGGTCCAGATATTTTGTTCGTTTATCTGTTTCGGCTTTCACGAGGTTCTCGTCATACGGAATGGTAATGTCGATCAAAAATATCCTTGACTGTGCCTGGTCCATTAGCACAATATCAGGCTTATTCGCAAGAATAGTCCTGTCTGTGATGATGGCCCGGTCCCAGTAGAGCCTGGCGCGGTCATTTTCGAGCACGGCTTCCGGCAAGTACTTGTAATACGGCAATTTTCGGTCCACGAGACCGTATTTCAGAGCGAGCTCCTGGTGTAGAATTCTGGCTACTAGGTTGTGCCTGTGCAAGTACTCAGAGTTAGAAAGCGCCGAACAACTGGAGATGACATGCCTAAGTGACTCCTCGGGATGGCGACAAGCTCGACAGAAGTCGACAGTGCCATCCTTTAGGATGTATCTCCGATAGTTGTTGGTCTCAATAACCTGATCCTGTATTGCACAGACAAAACCCTCGATTTCCCCGAAGAGGTCACCGAAACGTAGCTAGTTGAGGGAGGCGGCTGTATCTACGTGAGGCTCATGTAGAGCCCTGTAATACCTCCCGTGGAGCTCCTTCTCCTTCTATACGGTCTTCCGGTCGGAAATGCTCTGTACTGCCAGGTCTTGCCATTGCTCGTTGGCTAAGGATTGAGGGGTAAGTCCTTTATCACTAGAAATGACGTGATTATAGAATGGATCATCCGATTTCGCCAGGAAGTAATGACGGAGGCTGCACACTTCGCCATTATGTATGGTGAGCGCGCTCAGGAGGCCACGCCCACCATGCTTTCGCGGCAAGTACAGCCTCATTACCGACGATCTCGGATGATGCATCCTATGGGACGTCATTGTAGTGCGGACTTTTCTATCCAGGGCGTTAAGTTCAGTCTGACTCCACCTGAGTATGCCAAAGGTATACATGAGGACAGGCATGACCCAACCGTTATATGCATTTGTTTTATTCACACCGGACAAAAGGCTGTTAAGCACTTTGGTCAAGCGTGCATAAAACACGTCGCAAACTGACTGTTTCGTACCAGCCTCATCGATACCGATGTTCTGTGACATACCCAGGTATCTGTGTGTTTCAGCCTCGGAAAGGGCCCTTAAGTTGACGGGCATAGATAAGTCTATGCCCTCAGAGTTAGCAACCCTTCCCCTTTCAACATGGAGGACCGCACACTTATCCGTCTCCAGCTCCATTCTAATACAATTGCTAAATTTACAAGTGATGTTTAGCAATTCCACAAGATGGGAGCGACTGGAGGCGAATAATTTGAGATCATCCATATAGAAAAGGTGGGTCACTTTTGTACCTCCTTTTCGAAGCTGAAATCCCCTCCCGGAGCCCTCCAGTAAAGTACTGAGAGGGTTCAAAGAGAGGCAGAACTAGATTGGACTCAGACAGTCGCCCTGGAATATACCCCTTCTTATCCTTATGCGGCTTTCCGCAGCCGTCAACCGCTCGCCTAGATGACAGAGAATCGTAATACACTGCCCCATACACTGCTCGAGGAAGTCTCAAACTATACAGTCAATCTTGTACAGCTCGAGGACCCTCTTTAGCCATGCATGGGGCACCGTGTCAAATGCCTTTGTGTAATCGGTGGAGAAGTTCCGACGGTTGCGTTTCACCACTTTTCCAATGACCACGTCAATGAGTAGTGGTTCCTTGGTTCCACGACCGCCGCCCCGACATCCATTTTGAGCGCGCGACAACACCTGATTTGAGTCCAGGTGACGAGCGATTCTCGTGCTCAAAATGGATGTTAGTGTCTTGTATATAGTCGGTAGACACGTAATGGGGCGGTATTTGCTCGGGTCTGTGGCACCCTGATCTTTAGGAACCAAATGAGTGGTCCCAGTAGTGAAGAGGCTTGGGTGCTACTTCTAGTTGAGAGCCTCTTGAAACTGTCGGGCGAGCACAGCGTGACACACCATGAACCCCTTCAGCCAGTAGTTATGCAGCCCGTCAAGCCCCGGACTTTTCCAGTTCGGGGCCCTACGGACCGCCTCAGCTACGTCATCCGGCGTTATGATGACGGGGTCCATGGGCGTAATACCCGCACACTGACTCGCCGCAACTTCTGTCCAAGGGCCCTCGTTGTGGTTTACGGGCTCTGACCACAGGCTGCGCCAGAATGCGACCGTGTCGGCCTGATTTGTTGCTGAGCCCATTCCACTTACTATTGGTCGCTTCAATGATTTATAGAGCCTTTTCTGATCACTCTGGAAGAGACGATTCTGGTTAAACCGTGTCGACCTCTCGGTATATCGCTGAATCCGCTTTCCCTAAGCAGCGATTCTTTGCTTCTGGTCGTCTATGCGCTCCGTCAGTTTTTGCATTATATCCGGCTGGGACAAACTAACATTTGTCCCAGCAAACGCCATCCTGACGGTGCGCACAATCCTTGGCCTTGTATTGCCTGACCTGAAGCATACCAGTCTGCCAATGAGGGCCCTAGCCTTTGCGATACGTTCTTCAATTCTTATTCTCCAGGCTGGGATAGCAATACCTTGTCCAGTAGCGCGTTCAGCCGTGGAAAGTTTGGCGCCTATAATACGGCAGACTGCCAGTGCGGCGCCAAAAAGAAATGAGCCCGTCTCGCAAAGGTCCCGGCTGGCTTCCAAATAGGTAACCAGCATTGGGTTCAGAGCCCTCACGACAGCCCGATTCCGCTTGCTTAGGGCTAAGCGGGGAAGTCGCGGTCGATTTTCGAGAGGCGTACTGCGCGTTTCCACAATCGCCTCTTCCAATGTACTACTCATTTTCTCTAGTTCCAGTTCCTGGGCGACTGTTCCATCATCGTTTGAATCAACCTCAACTAGCGTATTTACGGCGCCATTCACATTTGCCGTTTGCTCAGCAAGTTGTGGCGCCACATCCTCAACCGCAGCATTTTCACCCGATGAAGGAACAGCCTCACGTCGTAGCCGTTCGAGTTCGGTAACATCAAATGTATTTGAGCGTTATTATTATTATTATTGTTATTATAAATTCAAGTGCTGTAAATTTGCTTTCTAAGTAGTCCAGAAACTCCTGTAGCACAGGTAGATCTCTGGGCCTCTTTTGCGATTCTATATATCCTGTATATTTCTCCATGTATATTTTTTGCAACAGTATGTGTACTAGCAGCGGATCCTACGTTCTAATATCTACACCTAAGTTTTTGATAGCCTTTAGATATTTTAAAGATATATCATGTAATTTTTTAATTTGATTTACCGTTTGCTGCTGAATATTAGGAAACTCAAGCAATAGGCTAATGTGAGATACGAAAATTCGTCGCTTGTTGTCAAACCTATGAATTAGAATTTCCCAAGAGGTTACATAATTTTCTGGACTAACATTCAAATGCTGTATTATATGCTCTGCATACCCTTTGAGTTTACTCTTTAAAAATTGCATTTTTTGAGCGTTTGAAAGCGACGGGTTGTTGTGAACGCTTTCCGTGAAAATATCTTTGAATGGTACCCATTTGTTATAATTGTCGTTAAACTTAGGGATATCCATTCTAGGCGTACAGCTTTCTCGGTGATTGACAGACCATATTTTGGAATGGAGTTTTCTCTTCAAATCCATAAACTCCTGTTCATATATACTAAAAGTAGCAGTATATTCTTCGTCATCTCCATTGAGATCATGATCAATTTCCCAATGCAGAGAATCTATAGCCGACCATCGCGACTCTAATGTTTTTAAAGAATTCCGTAATGTTATATATGTTTATACAACTAACAGACCTTTTAAATGCCTTAAAATTAATATATTGTTTGCGCAACATGTCATCAAACTTACTGGTCGCTCCTCGATGTACCTGTGGGCGGAGAGCCTCTTGTGGCTCCGCCGATTTTCTCGAAGACGGCTCACCTGATCCACACTGTTCCACTTGTTGAGTTGTTTTACCTTCAAGGGCTGGATAATACTTCTGGCTAGTCAGAAAATCCTGATACTGCAAATTTATAAATTCTTATACCGAGTTATATTGCTCCCTTGCAATTTCGTACTCGGAATTTGTAAAGTAGGGATGTGAATGACTCTCACTTTTTACTAGTTGACTGTGATTTTTCTGATAATCTTGCCAGTACGATTCCAAAACCTCAAGTTTTCTTTTAAAATAATCTATTGTTTAACGCTCTGACCCATCTTTTTTAATATTGATACCAATTTTACGGATAGCTCCTACAATCTCGACCTGATTAGCATGTATGTTTTCCATGTTGCTATTAAATGCAAAATTGTTAAAAAAGGAAAGATCTAACTTTGACACTGCTGATTACTGCTGATGCTGCTGCTGCTAACCGACTTGCCGACACGTTGCTTCTTGACCTAGACTAGCTGCTGCTTGGCCAAGCCAAATGTTGTGGATGTTGAGCAAGATGACCGCTGTTATGTTTGAGTTTAAAATGTTCGCTCGTTCTCACTGTCACGTCACTGTCTTTGAAACACACAGGGGTCTAATGCACTTGTCGAAGGACCCAAAAATGTTTATTTTTCGCTCGAAGTACCAATATATGTTCAGGTATTGGACGTATGTTTAATTATAATTTAAGTTTTATATAAAAACAATTTAATAAAGAAGTTAAAAAATATAAGATTAAATTATGTTAAAAAATGTTAAATGTTATGTTAATGTTAATATAATAAATAGGAACTTCATTACATTGCTATCAGATAAACGACAACTCAATGAATAAATTTTGTAAAAGATAAATTGATCGATGAATAAAATTAATTTAAAACGCAGCTTAACTTAATAACTCAAAAGAATATTAACTGATATATTTTATTAATAATGAAAATTGCAATATTTTATACAGGTATTATTTAAGAATTCATCGAAATGTAATATCATGTTTTCTTTGTATTAACATTGCGCATTAAAATTCTAAACAATGCTGACGTGATCTTTTGCATATAAGGCATCGGAATATTACACGTAGTTGATACAAAATGATGCATTAATATACACTACTGTTGTCTCCTGACTTGCGTTCAAAATATTGACTTTATACTTTTTCATTTATTTTATCTGCGATTAAAATCCAGTATTAAATTGATAAAAAAACTTAATAAAATAAACTATTATTTTATAATACAAAACTGTATAGTAGTTCGATACTTTTTTTTTGAGATAATATGATTATTGAATTTAGGTAATGGCTCTAAACTCTAATGACTTATAAACTATTGAAGCTAAGTCAAATGTTAAACAACTTATATAACAGAAAAAAAATGCGAAATAGGATTAATGATGTCAAAACATAAAGTTTATGTAGTATGGTAAAACAATTGTTTGTGCCTTAAAAGTATAAACTATTTGCACAAAAGAGTAAAAGAAGAAATAGAATAATAAAGTCTTAAGTGAAAGTATAGAAAGGAAACTGTATGAGAATGGTAGTATTGTTAGATGTGATGACACTAAGGTTGTGTTCAAATATATTGGGATGGTGTATATATTTGAAAAAAATAGTAAAATATTAACTTAACTACGAGTATTTGTAATCGGCTAGATCAACCGATGAACAACTATGGTTGTGTTAATTTTTTTTCTCTTGAAGAATGTTGAGGTTTTAGTATGGATGTGTGAAAGTTGAAGACAGACTACGGCAAAGAAAGGAATATAATAAGTATGGATTTTAAATATTGTAATATATGTTGTATATGTAGAAAGATTTATATGATGTTTAGATAAATTATTAGAAATTATGCAATTTTAATATCAAAATTTTGTTAGTTATTGGAATGAAAGAATTAGGCTATCGGATATTATCTTAGCAAATGTTTAGGGCCCAAACTCTGGTTATGTTAATAAACCGATATGCTTAGTTGAAAGGAGATGGAATGAGATTGAATGAATATAAAAGAATCCGATACAGACAAAGATTTACGAAGATAATAAAAAAGATGACCATGAGAAATAAATGATGGAGAGATACGGGAACGTTCATCACTGGTATAGCATATAGTCCTCGAGCAGGGTATGTTTCCGTGATTGGACGATGAAATCGGAGTAACGGGTACTAGGGAACAACGCCTTCTGTACAAGTGATGTAACTGTGTTTACTCATATTAGTACTGTTAGGGACCGGAGAAGTCTTAAATTTGTTACCCTTATTAATGGTACATTGAGGTCACATCCTTCGTTGGATCATGGTGCTAACTTAGATTTCCTCTGTAACAATTGTTGGAGTCCTTTTAAAGTTACTTAAAAAAAACATAGACCTCGATGCTGTGCGCACAACCCAAGGAAAATTTTACCTTGATACAGAAAAAAAAAGTTTATGTACCAATAAAATGAAATGAATGTTACGAAAATGTAATATAAAACCCAAATAAATGGGGGGGGCCATATTTATAAAGTACCCGCGTGATAAAAATCACGAAATAAAATATAAATGAAATGAATTAATACTCCGATTCCCGGTATCTAATAAATAAATAAACATATAAGTGAATAGAGAGAAAGAGAGCTAGCTAACGGTAAAAAATATTAGGAAGAAATAAAAGAAAATACGTACAAGAATTATGGAAAAAGGGCCTATTAATCGACAAAAATACAGGATTATAAGGGGATTTCCGAGCAAATAAAAAGGTGTGATAAATGTATGATAATCTAAAGGTGAGATAGGTAGTTATTTTGCATTTCTGTATTAGGACTATTAATGCTTCCTAAAATGCGACTAACGAGTTACACATGTAATAACTATAGGGATCGATTTAAACAACTACGCGAAAATGTGTTGTGTGTGTATGTATTGTATGCGTAATTGTCTAACCACATTTGTATATGAATTTACGAGATATTTTTTTCATACCTTTTATGTAAAATTTGTAAATTTTAAACTATATTTAGTTTATATTTTGCTCATAAAGTAAAGTCCAGAGTCTATCGATACACTAAATTTATTAATGTAATAGTATTCTTTTTACGTTTTTTCTTTAGAAAAGACAACGGAACCAAAAATTATGTTTGATATGAAATTGCCTTTTTCAATGTTAATAAATATTTCGTAAAACAAACTTGAGCTGTGTACCTAGTAGTGTTTTCTTTTTTTATATAAATTCCGTGTCATGAAAAAATGAGTTTTCGAAATTATAAATAACTTAATTAATGATTTTTTGTTAATGTACCTATGTAAAAAAAATACTTTTACAAAATGAATTTAAAATTGAA